GAGCTGAGCCTGCGCGCCGCCCAGCCGCCTCCCCCCCCCCAGTTCCCCTTTCGGCGCCTGGGTTTCTCCGCGACGCGTGGCGCCGCGCCAAGCCCGGATGGCGGCGCCTGATCTGGAGGTGCATGTGTTCCTCCTGCGCCCCCCCCCCGCCCTCATATCTCTCCGGCTTCTCCCCTCCTGCTCCACCCGGTGGCTTTCCTCCGGCGTTAGGATCTCCCAGGCAGGTTTGTTGGCCCGAGGCCGGGCTGGCCGTGCCGGGAGCCCCCTGCCTCTTGCTAGCAGCCCCCTTGTCCTAGTCCTGGCTGGCTAGCGCGAGGGGAGCGCAGTCCCCTGGGGATGCAAAGGGCAGGGACAGAGTCTCTGCTGCTGTGTTTTGCCTGGTGGAATCGCGTCTCTTTTTATCTCCCTGTTTGTCTATCAAATTTGTGTGCCGCCCGACTTTGGGGGCTAAGCCCCGCTGCGTGAAAAGTTAAGTATTGAGGGGTTGGCCGTGTTCTTCAGCTCCTCCCCCCGCCCCATCACCTTCTCTGCGCTCCCAGATGTGCTCTTAACGGATCTATGAAGCACCTGGCGGCATTTCCTTCATGGTTCAGTTTGGGGCACACCGAGCCCATTGGTTGCATAACGGCTCAGCAGCATTGTGCCAGTCCAGAAAGGGGTTAATTTGGTGAATGTGTTCCAGATGGTGTGGGTACAGCCTAGATGCCACAAATTGTTCCCTGAGTTTTGAGGTTGGTGGGGTTGGTTCCCAGCATCCAGGCTAGCTTTTGGGCCCAGGGCAGGGGGAGGCTGGAGGTGGAACACCATGGAGCAGAAGCCCTGCAAGGCACCAAGTGTCACGTCAGGAGGCCAAGGGGAGAAGCAGGACTTTTTCGAGAAATTGCAGTGGGTGGGCTTTCCTGGTTGCCTTGGCTGCTGAAGCTGGTTCCACCCAGCCCTGGTAGGTGGCTTGGGAAGAGCAAACTTGACCCTGAAGGCTGGGCCATGCCAGGTCTGGAGATGGGCATCTTGGTTCACCTGC